CCCGTCCCAAACGTCGCCAGTTCTAGGCCACGATCAGGCACTGTCTTACTGATCAATGTACGGTAAGACAAGAGCAAAGTCAGGAGACATAGATATCTCCCTCATCACACGGTCCTTTTTCCCTAACTGCTTCAAAATTAAAAAAGTTGGTTTTCAGAATGCTGTGGCGAAAACGAGTAATCCTGCTCAAATTTTATGCTTCAGTAATTAACAAAGAAGTCACTATGGGTCCAAATCCCAAACGTAATGCAACCACTTAAACTCAAAAATGTTTGCTCTTCCTCATGGGAAATCCAGAACAAGCCCTAAATTGAGTTAGTTTTGTACTTTTGATATTATAAAAGCTCAAAAATCGAAAAGGGCTGAAGTACTTAAATGAAATTTCTGCAATTCGGTACAACTTGCCGTCACAGCCCAAATTAATGCTTTTCGGATTAAAAATGGCCCACATCAAGACATGCAAACAAATTAGGTTTAACTTCTGAATAATTTAGAAGGATTAAATGTCTCAAAAACAGCGATTCTTCCCTCCCAAACGCACTCAAACAAACAAGCATCACACATCAAACATCAAACAAAGCAAAAAAGAAGAAATTTTTGGAAAAAGTCGAAATTTGTAGAAAATATTGGCCCATTTGAAAAAGGACACTAAATCTATATTTAAATCAAATGCACTCATGACCTAACTGCCCATCTTTGCATGCAGCTGAGAACTTTTCCATTTACTCTGACCAATGTTGTATTGCTCGGTGGTTATCCAGCTTGCGATCCTAACGTTTGTTTCGTCTTCTGAACAGATTACCAGTTCAACTGTTCTCCCGACAGAAACATTTAGCGCTGTCTCTCTCAGAGTTAAAAATGCAGTTTTTTACAATTCACCAATTTTTATGTCTTTCCCTTTTATGCGTTCCTGCATATTAATGCAAATGCAAAAACAATCTGATTTCTATCATTTTCCAATTCTTTTTGGGTTTTTTTGTGGTCGCACTAAATTCTGGAGAGAATAAGTCCAAGTTTATTAGTGCCATAGCAACAAGGAGTTTTGGACTGAACATAATCAAAGGGAAGTACCAGTTAAGTCTCTCAGACTTAACTGGTACTTCCCTACTCATCTAGGTTTCTCAATCATAATGGTATCTTCTTTTGGTTAAGTCCACTCCAAGAATCCTTACTATCATTGTACTAACAACACCTGTCATTGTTATTATAATAATAGTAATAACAATGACAGGTTATTATAATAGTAATAATAACAATGACAGGTTTTGTTAGCACAATGGCAGTAAGGGTTCTTGGAGTGGACTTAACCAAAAGAAGATAACGGTTATGATTGAGAAGCCTAGATGAGTGTTATTATAGTAATTATTATTCTTATTAATCTTATTATTATTGTTATTATTATTATCAAATTCTTACTCTTCCTTCCGCGGTCCACCAGTCATTTCTGATAATTGTTTTGATAGTATTCGGATCCCAGTCGTAATAGCCGCGTTCTTTATTCAACGAAACTGGCTTATTGTAGCGATTCCGACGTGTTCGCGGTACGCCATTCTCATCCCGAAAGAATGCGTAGAGTCCGGCCGAGAAGCCCAGTGCATGAAGAATTTCATGCTTTACCGTAGAAAGCAATACTTCACGATCATGCGGTGCTGTTGACAGTGCATTCGGACATAAATTAACATGGCCAGCTATTGGTCTGCAATATAAATGGTACTTCAATCTGGAAGTAGTTCAAATTTTTCATTTTGATACTTCAATCAGCTAATGCTTCAATGTCGCGTTTCTTCTCATCACTGTTTCAGATGGCAGTTTCTTCACTCTTCTCTATTTCGGTCTTCTCGCAACAATATGATCCCATAGAAGCATTCAAGCTGACCCCCGCACTGCATTAGCCACTTATGCCCCTTTAATGCTGTGAGGGTACCACTCAAGCGGGTTTTTTCACTCGTTGCGTCTTATTTTTAATAGATGACCAGTTAAAATCTCTTTCCTAGCGTACATTATCTTGATAACATTGCTCGCATCGGTTCAAAAAGAAGTACCTCAGACAGATATGCTACAACTTGCTGACACCTACCACATGTTGTTCCATGGCTCTTTGGATTATCGTTAACTTTTTCTCAAAAATTCCATGTTTTATTTCCATAAATTACGCTAGAAATAGTCAACTGAATGCTGCTGAGTCGAAGGTATCTCGCCGAAATCACGAATTGGGGCGCTTTATGTTCACATCACATAAACAAAACGTTTTGAAAATGAATAAATTTTTCAAAAATAACTTAAACTGCACAAATAGACGATAAAAAAACAAACCTGTCCAGATCGGCTTCTTGCTGGCAGTGTGCCGCATAAGCAACAGTGTCAACATTTTTGCATCGCTCCGAAAAAACTGCCGAAACGTAAAGCAGGAAATCTGCACTGGGTACACCAACACCATCGGGAGGTCCCGAAGCACCACAGTTCTGAGAATTAGGAGACGTACAGTACCGACACTGCTGAAATTGTTTAGATCCACCTCAAAAAAATAATCCTCTCAACACAGCTGAAATGAGCAATGCTACTAGAATGGTCAACAGGGGAGGGGAGGATTTTAGAAATTCTTCGAACAGAAGAGCAAAAAAAACAAAGCTTTTTCCCAATTCCTCCATTCCTTAACTAATTTTACAACTGGACCTTATCAGGACACGACGACTGTAAGTGAAATAGAAGAATGGAGGAATTTCACTTGAATGTCGTGTGTATGAAGAAATTTTATGATGCAGTCTATGTCTCACCACTTAGCTGTACACACAGACCGAAATACGCTATGAAAATGAAGTGCATTAAAAACAGACATATAAATGTTCGTCTGGTATGATCACTTCACCGCAGCTTGTTTCCTCTTTACAGCCCAGTACACAAGATTGCCGCTTTTCATGTGCACGCATATAATACAAATTCGATGAACATTTCCTGAAAGATAAACAATTACCCAAACATTTTCAAGTTGTATATCAGTTGGTGCTGGTAATGTGCGATTATTGCAGCAAAGTTTTTTGCTCTGTGAACATAACTGCGTTGTGATCGGATAGGCAAAGTTTACACTGAGTGATCTGCGTATATAAGAACGAAACTAATAGGCGAAACACCGATGTCACTGGAGTAAAAGAGCAAGGCTAATATACAGTGACGTAGCAAAATAGAAATAATTGGCCAACGCATGGGCTGCTCGTACGAAGATACGTTTTTTGCATGGTTCCTCACAGTTTTTGTCGCTACCAGCACCGGTTTTTCCGGCAAATGCTTCTAGCCAAACAAATTAAGACTGGCTGCCAGAA